AAGGAATATGCTCGAATGGTAAACTTCTTGCAGCAGCAATCATATTGGGAGCACTGTCAGTTCCTATAGTTGTGATTTTCTCCGTTATCCCCCACTCATTTGCAACATCAAGGAACTGGCTAGCGCATGCTTCGGCAAAATGTCTTTCTTCTGTTTTTAACACTCCTAAAGTGAATGAGTGCAGATGCCAGTTGCCATCGATTAGGTGTGCTGTTACACCGAGGTAGTTTTGGTTACTTGCTGATGTCCAGTGGTCTCCAGTAAGTGCTATGAAAGTGCCTTCTGACAAGTGACTCACTTTTTTAGCTTTTTCACTATAACATTTTCAGATAAAAGAGCACGGCTTGTTGATGCTGTATCAGCACTGGCATCTTTACTAACCTCTACCAAAATATGTTTGGCCCGAAGACGGTATTTCAAACTTGTTGTGCTTTGGTGAAAAGACAGTTCATCATTACAATAAATGCGCACAACTTTGGTTTCATCCAAACTTCCATCTGGAAGCTTTTTATAACGAAACTTGCCGTTCAGCACACCAGGCATTGTGTTTTCTGCCATCGTGTTGTAACACACGTTCGCGGTTACGTTACCTGGCCTTATCACACAATAACCATCCACGCTGCGAAGACGGCAAGAAGTTGGGGTCAAAACTTATCAAATGATTAATTTGCGTTAAAAAAAATAGTAGCGCGTTAAAAAAAATTTTGATTAATCATACGTTAACGTTGACATCCATAATATATAATATTATTGTAAAGGAACAGTGACCGTGTCAGCCAGTACCCTTCGCTGCATAGTTCAAGTGCCAGAGGGAAAAAGAAGTGGTTATGCTTTTATCATTTTTGAGGAATGCCTATTAAAAGGCACTAAAGCACATCTTTGTTTCATAGCTCTCTGTGTGTACATGTGTAAACTATTACAGGTGGTAGAGTGTCTGAGTACCCCTAAGGCATTTTTCTGTAAGGCTGGTGATTCAGTTGTTTTTCACTGGTATATTCCATGCTTACTGTCATAGGTCTTTCCAAGTGCTCACTATCTGCGGGAGTAAACATGATGAAGTACCTGGTGGCATCCAACACAAAACTGATTGTTTGAGCCAAAATTAGTGAGATGCTGAGGAACACAGACTCACTAACATGGCATTAGGTTGTCTGTCACTGTGGATTTTTCTATGGAGGAATGTAGTTCAGTGGTTACAGAGGTTGTTGGATACTGTCTAAGGATATTAAGAATCAATTAAAGAGACTGAGACTAGACTGGGACAGTGGTTAGTACTGTTGCCTCACAGCAAGAAGGTTCTGTGTTCGAGCCCCAGTCAACCTGGGGCCTTTCTGTGTGGAATTTGTGTGTTGTGCAAACGCTACAGCAACTCAGTTCAGGGGCCTATTGCACAAAACTAGGATAAGGGATTAAGCCGGGATATCTTGGTGATCCTGGCTCAATTTATCCGTGATCCGGTTGCACTAAAGCTGGATTAGATGGCGGTAGGATGTTATGGTATAAATTACCATGGAGATTTATTCTGTGGAGCTAGCCTGCTCCAGACCAGGCTAAGTTCCAGGATTTATTTAATCTCATCCCTCATGTCAGTCAGCAGTCACCACAAACG